AATCCACTGAAAGGATCTCTGTGGAGCCTCTGAGCAACACACAGGATGTAAAATCCTAATGACTGAAGAATTAAAAGAGCAGCTTGAAATAATAATAATAATAATAATAACAATAATTTTTCATTTCAATGTTTTATATACTGCTGGGGAGATTAATCTGTAATGATAAATCAAATATTAGTTTATTACATTTCGTTTCAATAACTATAATAATAATAACTATAATAGTAATAACAACGCCAGATAAAGGAGGAACCCGTACAGTATTGAACTCTGAGGTGTAGTGCAGTAGAAGTACTTGAACGGTAAGTAACAGTAACCTGTGAACAACAGTAACTAATCCAAGCTCTTATTGTGAAGGTCTGAGCGGAAGTGTGTGAGCTGACAGGTTCAATCAGGAAACAACAAACAGCAGAAACACGGCGCTGCTCCGCGGCTATCTCCGCCGGCCTCCGAGCTCCTCTCAGCGGCTCCAGCGGCAGCAGAGAGCCGCTGAGAGGAACCGGAGGGGCGGAGAGAGAGAGAGCCGAGGAGCCGGCCCCGGTACCGACCGTTCAGACCGACAGCTTAAACTTACCGTCTCCGGTGATCCGCCTCACTCTGCTGACAGCTACACAACACGGAAATAATGAGGCACGGGGCTCATTGCGCATGCTCCCAGGAGAGAGCGAGCGAGCGAGCGAGAGAGAGAGAGAGAGAGAGAGAGACAGAGAGAGAGAGAGCGATAGATAGAGAGAGAGACAGGGAGAGAGAGAGACAGGGAGAGAGAGAGAGAGAGAGAGAGACAGGGAGAGAGAGAGAGAGAGAGAGAGACAGGGAGAGAGATAGAGAAAGAGAGAGAGATAGATAGAGAGAGAGAGACAGAGAGATAGAGAAAGAGAGAGAGAAAGAGAGAGACAGGGAGAGAGAGAGAGACAGAGAGAGAGACAGAGAAAGAGAGATAGAGAGAGAGAGACAGGGAGAGAGAGAGAGAGAGAGACAGGGAGAGAGAGAGATAGATAGAGAGAGAGAGACAGGGAGAGAGAGAGAGACAGGGAGAGAGAGAGAGATAGAGAGAGAGAGAGAGACAGGGAGAGAGAGAGAGAGAGACAGGGAGAGAGAGAGAGATAGATAGATCGCCATTTTAGCTTGGCCAAAAATAAAGTTCAACAACTGACATTTCAGTCTCCTCTTCTGTGAGTAAGTAGAACCTAAAATGAACATTTCCATAGAAGAAGTGTCTCCAAGCATCCTGAACATTCGCTGCAGCAGCTGAAACAAGGAGTCCTGCCTGCCACAGTCCATGAACCAGTGAGACACCGTTTCTCTCTGCGAGCAGAAATGACACTTCTCACTTACATTTGGGTTGATCACAGAAACAAAAGCATTCACAGCTACAATCCTGTGAAGAATTCTCCACTGCAGATCTCCAACCCTTTTAGTTAACGGTGGTTTACAGAGTACTCCCGACGCAGCTCTGACATCACCATTAAGCCCTAAATGAGCTCTCCAAGGGGTGTCAGTCCGACCGCTGAGCTTGTCCTTGTTCAGAACCTGTTGGTTCAGGTTCTGAACCAACGTTCATGTACATAGTTTTTCTGTCATAACATGTAACCTGTTAGGTTGAGTGTTGCTGGACTCCAGCAGTTGACCAGTGCAGCCTTTAAAATCAGGAAGTTCAATTCAATTCAATTCAATTTTATTTGTATAGCGCCAATTCATAACAGAAGTTATCTCAGGACACTTTTCAAATAGAGCAGGTCTAGACCGAACTCTTTAAAACATTAATTAGAGAGACCCAACAGTACCACCATGAGCAAGACCTTGGCGACAAGGGCAAGGAAACACTGCCTGTTAAAAGGCAGAAACCTAGGACCGATCCTCCGGCTCTAGGTGGGTGGTCGTCTGTCTTGACCAGTTTGGGTGAGAGAGAGAGAGAGAGACAGAGAGAGAGACAGACAGGTGCACAGCAACAACAGTATTGGCAATGGCAGTCTAGCAGGACCATGACAGGAGGCTCCACCAGGATCGATAAGAACCTGCGAGACGAGAAAGCACAAGAACTCTGGGGAAGAAGTGAAGTTAGTAACTAGTACTATGAGCTCTTTAATATATGAAGGGGCCTGACCATGAAGAGCTTTATAGGTGAGGAGGAGAATTTTAAATTCTATTCTACATTTTACAGGGAGCCAGTGCAGAGAAGCTAGTACAGGAGAGATGTGATCTCTTTTTCTAGTTCCTGTCAGTACTCGTGCTGCAGCGTTTTGAACTAATTGGAGTGTTTTAATGGACTTATTGGGGCAACCTGATAGAAGAGTTGCAGTAATCCAGCCTTGAAGTAACAAATGCATGGATTAGTTTTTCTGCACTTGTCTGTGATAGTATGTGTCTAATTTTTGTAATATTACGTAAATGATCAAAGATAACTCCAAGATTCCTGACAGTGGTGCTAGAGGCCAAGGTAATGCCATCCAGAGTAACTATATCTTTAGACAGTGAGTCTCTAAGGTTTTTGGGGCCAAGAACAAGAATTTCGTTTTTTTCTGAGTTTAACATCAGAAAATTGCAGCTCATCCAGGATTTTATGTCCTTAAGACATGTTTGTAATTTAGATAATTGATTAATTTCATCGGGCTTGATTGATAGATATAACTGCATATCATCTGCATAACAGTGAAAGTTAATGGAGTGATTCCTAAAAAAATTGCCTAAAGGGAGCATATATAAAGTAAATAGTATTGGTCCAAGTACAGAACCTTGTGGAACTCCATGACTAACTGTAGTATTTATTGAAGATTCATCAATAACATGTACAAACTGCGAACAATCTGATAAATTTGACTTAAACCAGCTTAGTGCGGTTCCTTTAATGCCAATTTGATGCTCAAGTCTCTGTAAAAGAATATTATGGTCAGTGGTGTCAAATGCAGCACTAAGATCTAATAATACAAGTACAGAGACAAGTCCATTGTCTGAAGCAATCAAAAGGTCATTATTAACTTTAACCAGAGCTGTCTCTGTGCTGTGATGAACTCTAAATCCTGACTGAAAATCCTCAAACTATTGTTATGTAGAAATTCACACAACTCTTTTGTGACTACTTTCTCCAGAATCTTAGAGAGGAAGGGGAGGTTAGAGATCGGTCTATAGTTGGCTAAAACCCTTGGGTCAAGAGTGTCATTGCAGGGAAGTGATCATCAATGTTTGGCTGACGGTGTCCGTTACAGTGAGCTGATAACAAGGAAAGCTCAGCCCGTGTCAACTCACACCTCCAGGTGTTGAGCAGTTGGGTTATGAACCTGACAGACCTGACTCCCACACCAGAGGCCAGAGCTGCAGCGTTGATCAGTCGTGGTCCGCATAGTTGCACCGCGTGTCCCAGGGTGATGACCCCCACCGAGCGAAGCAGCTGCAGCACAGAAGGTCCTGTTGTGCGCTCTACATTGAAGCACCACTGGCTCTTTCAAAAGCCAAAACAAGGAAACATAGTTGGCCAGACTCTGCTTGTTGAACAACCCCCACACAGTAAACAGTCCATTATAAAACTTTGGAAGGTTGCAAGGTTTGTGAGCGCTCAGGTCCATCAGAAACAGAGGCTCAGCGAGACCCAAACCTCCAGCCCGTCTCAGTATGGCTCGGGCTATGGGCCTCCAGACAAGGTCTGCTGGACCGGTGAGGAACCTCTGGATGAACCAGAGTCAGAAAGCAGCGCCCCTGCTGGCCAGGTGAATGAGCCCCTGTCCTCCGTCCTCCTTGGGCAGAAGCAGCACGCTCTGTGGGACCCAGTGCAGACAGTCTCAGAAGAAATCGACCAACACCGCTTGTATGCTGGCCAGGAGACGCGCCGGGGGGTTCACACATGCCAGTCGGTGCCACAGCATGGCAGATACCAAGTTGTTTATCACTAAAATACGCCCTTTAAAGGACATATGTGGTAAAATCCATTTCCACTGTTTGAGTCGTCCCTCAACCGTCTCTAGAACATGGTCCCAGTTCTTGCACTTAAAAGAATCATCACCGAGATAGACACCAAGATATTTAAAACCTCCCTTGTTCCATGTTAACCCCCCAGGCAAAATGAGCTGCCTGCTTAACCCATCACTAACTGCTAAGGCTTCACTTTAGCTAACTTTAGCAGAGTTAACTTTAGCAGAGGATAATGTACCAAACACATTAGCAGTTTCGCCAAGGACATCAATATCGTCTTGTTTTTTTACAATGACAACAACGTCATCAGCATAAGCAGACAATTTAAAAGCTTGTTGACATCCAGGGAGATTTATACCTGAAAGACGCTGTCTCAGTTTGTGTAGGAGAGGCTCTATTGCCATGGAGTAGAGCATGCCAGATAGGGAACAGCCTTGTCTGACCCCCCTCTGAACCTTAAAAGGAGTGCTTAACCCACCGTTAATCTTTAGTACACTCTCAATGTCACTGTACAAGACTTGGATCTTGGCTATGAGACCAGAGTTGAACCCAAAAGCGTTCAGTGTCTGCCACAAGTACTGATGTTCAATTCGGTCAAAAGCCTTTTCTTGATCTATAGAAATCAGACCAAGGTCACAGCCCAATGAACTGGAGAGGTCCAAAATGTCCCGATTAGAGAAATATTGTCAGATATCAGCCTGCTGGGTACACAATAGGTTTGGTCAATGTGAATGATATACTCCATCACTTTTCTCAGCCTCGTGGCCAACACCTTGGACAAGGTTTTATAGTCCGTGCAGAGCAGAGCTACTGGCCGCCAGTTCTTTATCAGCTGTAGATCCCCTTTTTTGGGGAGGGGGGTGAGGAACCGCTCTCCTGCAGCTCAGAGGTAACCGTCCTTTGTTAAAACTGTCTCTGAGAACAAGTAACAAATCCTGGCCAATTACAGGCCAGAAAACAAAAAAAAAATCTGCAGGAAGACCATCAATCCCTGGAGCTTTCCCGCTATTCAGGCTCTGCAGCACCGCAGCTAGTTCATCCGCAGAGATCTGTGCGTCCAGCTCAGCGTTGGGCTCCACGGGAACCTTGGGTAGACCCTCATAGAAAGACTTCGCCACCTCCGGTCTCTCCTGGAACTCTTCTTTGAAGAGCTCCTTGTAGAAGGCGACTGCACAGCTCCGTATCTCTCCTGACTCCTGCAGCAGCTGCCCTGTGTCGGACCGCAGGGAGTCTTTGTTACGGCCCTGGCCGTATTATTAGTATTATGTTATGGTATTGGATCCGTCTGTGGTGTGTGTTGGTGTTTTTTGTCCCTGTTCCTCTGCAGGAGTGTGCAGCTTGTCGATTGTAGATCTTTGACGGCAACCCGTAGGTCAGCTCTGACTGGTCCATGCCGTGGGCTCGGCTGGTGGAGTGTCTCCTGCTGGTTGGTTCTCCCAGGGAGCCGCAACATCCGCCGGGGATTCAAAACGCCGCACCACACCGAAGCTCTTCGACAGAACCTTCAGCAGCAGCATCCTTCTGTCCTCGGTTGTAGAGTGTGTGTTTTTGCGATAGAGTGAATTGTTATGATCTTAGTAGATAGTGTTTTTGTATGATTGTGTTTAGTGAGTATCGTAAGGGTGAGCTGCCATTTTCTTTGTACTACTTTTCTCCTGTTTTTCATTAGGATAGGGAGTTAGGTTTAGTAACTGTATTTTATTTCTATTGCATAGGGATTAGTAAGGATTTTTGCTTAAGGAAGTTAGCCCTGTTTTGTTTGTTGTTTTGGCCTTGGTTCACCCTGAAGTTTGTTGCATAGTCTTTGTTGCACTTTGTTTCACCTGTTTGTAAATAAATCACATCACTTGATTGTTAACACTGTGTTAGTTGTTCGTTTGGGGATCGGGGTAGGATTATTGGTTCATTTTTTATCACACATTTATGTGGCGCTCCTTCCCCCTAGACAGGGGCGTAACAGTCTTTTTTGTCCATTCTTACGTTCGAGGCCAAAGAAAAAGTGAGAGGGGGCATCTATTTTAGCAAAATATTGGAAACGGGAACGAACTAGAGCACCTTGAGCAGAGAAACCCAGCAGGTCAGATAGAGCTGACTTTTTTCTTTTGAGATCTTTAATATGTTCTCTTTCTCTTGTGGAAGCTGCTAAATCCTGCAGCTCCACTATTTCTCTCTCCAGAGCTTTTCATGTCCCTTGTGACATTGAGAGTGTACTGCAGGCACAGATGTTTTATTTTACCCTTCCCTATATCCCACCACTGTTGTAACAAAGTGTATTCAGATTTTGTCTCTGTGTAGTTTTTCCAAAACAAAATGAAAGCACTCCTAAAAACAGTATCAGAAAGCAAGGCCACATTGAAATGCCAATAGGCACCGCTACATTTAACATTTTTGACAAAAATAGAAACCTGTACAAGAGAGTGATCTGAAATACCTACTGGGTGTATTGAGCAACTCTGAAGCACATTGGTCTGACTGGCCATAGATAGAGAGTTATCTCTAGCATGGACCCAAGTATACCGGCACTGTGTGGAGTGAAAAACCCTCCAAGTGTCACATAAATTATTTTCTTCAATTAACTTAATAACACAGATCTTGGAGGCTCCATGTGGTTCTGGATGGTTCCTGTCAAGAGTTGCATTTTCAGTACAGTTAAAATCACCACCCAGGAACATGTAACCTTCCCCACTACAGTTATTAACAACAGTGTTTAAAATGTCAAAAAAAAACACCCTTTCTGTGCCTACGGTTGGAGCGTAAACATTAATGAAGGTCATTTTCACATTTTCAAACACCGCTTGTATTTTCAACAAACGACCCTCAATAATTTCTTCAGTAACACAAGAACTGGGTAAAAAGCCTCTAGAAAACAGGACAGCAACTCCTCTACTGTTACTGCTCTTATGGCTGAGGAAGACTTCTCCATCCCACCCTCTCCTCCATGCAGGTTCATTCTCAGCTGTGCTGTGAGTCTCTTGCAAAACAATTACATCTAATTTTCTAACTGTGAACAAACTGAAAAGAGAAGCTCTTTTTGCGTCCTCTCTGGCACCATTAATGTTTAAAGAGCCCAGCTTTATGTCACACATTGTGATGAAAAGACTGCATCCAAACAAGGCAGAGAGGAACATGCAGAAAGAAGTAGTAGTGCAGCAGATTAGTTGAAAAAATTGTTCACTTTGGTATACAAGCATGAAATTTGGCACAGATACTCTCTAAGGGCCACTATTTTGAAAAGTTTTGGAAACTAAGTTGCCACTCAAAAATTCAATATGGCGGCCATTTTTCAAGATTGCTTTTCAATGCTTATTATATCAATTATTCAAACAGTGATCCAAGCATACAATTTGATACAAATACTCTCTAAAGGACATGTTAATGGAAAAAGATGCTTGTCCCTAGAAAATTCAAGATGGCCACCATTTTTAAAGATGGCCACTGTTCCTGTCGAATATTAATTCTTTCAATTGTTCAAATGGTGATTTAAGCATAAAATTAGCAGAAATACTGTTTTGGAAAAAGGTATGTGCCACTCAAAAATTCAAGATGGCCACAATTTCTGTCAAATAGTCATAACGTCTGCTTTGTCTGCCTCCTCTCCTTTGACCTGTTCGGCTTAGTTAAACTTGCCAGGGATATAAAATCCCTGCCGGCATAGCTCTCAGGGTCACTGGAGTACACAAGCTTCTCCACCACGGCAAGGTGCAGTCCACAGAGAGGAAGGGCCACTGTTAGAAAAAGGAAGTGGCCAGTAAAAATTCAGGATGGAAACCATTTTTCAAGATGGTTCCCATTCCTGTCCTATGTTCATTGCCACTGTTTCCAAATAGTGATACAGAAAATATGCCACAAATACTCTGTAAAGGCCACTTTTTGGAAAAATTGGATGGCCAATAAAAAATTCAAGATGGAGACCTTTTCCAAGATGGCTGTCATTTCGGTAGTATGTACACTGATGCACACATGCATGTTAGCAAAAATACTCTAACGGCCACACCTTTAGAAAAGGCAATCGCAAAAACTCAAGATTCATTTTTCCACGTGGGTGTTGCTTTAATAGTGTACTCTGTTGGGACTGAGTTAAAAGGAGTGTCCAACCTGAGATTGAGAGGTTGTGCCCTGCCGAGTCATAATAAAGACTGTTAAAAATGGTAGCCAATGCCTCCCTGCTTGGCAGTCAGCAAGTGTTGTATTGGGGGCAACATATCCAGGAAGGTGTACATATACATCACGGTCCAGAATCAGGAAATCGGCTCTCAGCCCACCGCAAGGCTACTTGCTTTTTTATTCACATTTGCAATTACACAGTTCTGTGCAAGTGAAACCAAATCTAAAACATTTGCATCTTCCCGGCACTCTGATTTGCAGCCATACTTGGCTAGTTGTTCACAACTTTGTGCAACTGGTGCATTTGCTGTCCAGAAGACCCCCCATTGTTCACCAAGCTTTTTCCATCCCCCGTCAGCAGGACTCTCTGCTTCTGGCTGACACTGGGTTGCTTGACCCCATATGCAGCCTGCCTGATATGCAGCACGTTTAGTGTGTTGAAGCAGAGCTGCTCTAGTTGGAGGAATGGCTTCATACGGCCTCATATGGTCTTTTTGCCTTTTTTGCAAAAGGCTGATACAGTATCACAACCTGTAAAGCCGTGAAAGAATAGAATGCCTTTGGTCTTAACCGGCCCAATAACATGGTACAGGTCATGAACACCAATCCACCGCAGGCTCACACCATGCCCAAATGCAACTGGGGCAGCTGCTGGAGACCAAGATCCTGGAGGGATGGGAAGATGCTCAATGCTATAACAATAATATCTGTGTCATTGGCTTTGATCATTATGGATTTGCTGCCCTCCTCTGTGGCATGTTTAGCATGTACAAAGATGCAGCTATCAGCTTCCTCATGGAAACATTTGTCTAGACAATCGAGACAGGTTTCAGATGTACTCAAGACATCGGGTCCCTTGGTTACAACAACTATGTTTGGCACAGTCATTTGAGCAATCTTGTCAGTCAGAAAGTGGAAGAGGTCTGTTTTGTTATCATTATTGCGCCAATTTGATGGAACTTTGGGACACTAAACTTAGCTATACTATTACTACTAGTCAAGAACTACAGTGTAAGCAAAACTAGATCAGCTGACACTGAACCCCATGCTGAGTTCCACAGCAGTGAAGTCACCAGTATGCCCTGGTTGTGTAATGATGTTCACTCTATTAAACAAAACCTTCCTTAACACATTAAACTGAGCTCTGACAGAAATGGTGGCCATCTTGAAAATGGTGGCCATCTTGAATTTTTGAGTGGCACACACCTTTTTCCATGAGAATGTTCCTTGAAGAATATTTGTACCAAATTTAATGATAGGATCGCCATTTGAAAAATTGATGATAGGATTCAAGAGAAATGGCGGCCATCTTGAAAAATGGTTACCATCTTGAATTTTTGAGGGACAAGCACCGTTTTCCAAAAAAACATTCTTAAGAGAGTATTTTCACAAAATGTTATGCTTACATCACTGAAAAAATGGCCGCCATGTTGAATTTTGAATTTTTTTCCCCCAAAAAGTGACCCTTAGAGAGTATCTGTGCCAAATTTCATGCTTGTATACCAATTTGAACGCTTCTCTTGAAATATGCCATTAATCTGCTGCACTAGAGGACAACACTAAAAACTCATTCATGAGCAATTAATGTAAAACACCAGCTTTTTGAGGCAAAACACCTCTTGGTCAGTAAACGGCTGCTGGCCTGCGTTGTTTGAGAAATATTTAACTGAGTCAAGGAACAGCTGTAGATCTGGGAAGAAATCCTCCACTTTAACTAGTCTCATACCTTTTGTGTCCTGTAAGAACAAGCGGATTCTGGTGAAGGCGTAAACACTCTGCACCTCTATCTGTGAGCTCCCAGTGAGATCCCCTACCCTGTCCTGTATGCTCACCAGACTGTCCTCTGGCTGAGAGGAGGAACACACCAGGGTTGTCTTTGACACTTTAGAAGCCTGTTCACTGTTGGGTTAGCTTTCTAGACTTTTTCTTTTGGTTGACAGTTTGGACAGCCATATATGATTCGAGCGTTTTAATGGACCCTAAACCTAAACTAAATTATAATTAATTTGAAAGCCTTGTTCTTAGTCTTTCTCACCCAAACTGGAAAACACTGCAGCCAGTTCTATTTGTTATAGTGTACCGCGCTCCTGGACCGTACTCTGATTTTATATCTGAATTTTCAGAGTTTCTATCAAGTTTAGTCCTTAAATCAGATAAAGTAATTATTGTAGGTGATTTTAATATTCATGTGGATGTTGACAATGACAGCCTTAGTAATGCATTTATATCATTAATAGACTCAATTGGCTTCTGTCAGAGTGTAAATAAACCAACTCATTGTTTTAATCACACTCTTGACCTTGTTCTATCATATGGCATTGATATTGAACATTTAATAGTCTTCCCACATAATCCTTTCCTATCTGACCATTATTTAATAACTTTTGAATTCATACTATTAGATTATAAGCCATTAGGCAAAACTTCCTACAGCAGATTTCTATCTAACAGTGCTGTAGCTAAATTTAAGGAGGAGATTCCTTCAGTGTTTAATTCAATGCCATGTCTGAATTTAACAGAGTCCTATAACGACTTTAGTCCCTCTTAAATTGATAATCTTGTCGATAGTGCTACAGGCTCACTACGATCAACATTAGACTCTATCGCTCCTATAAAAAGGAAATTATTAAAACATAGGAGACTAGCACCTTGGTATAACCACCAAACCCGCCAGTTAAAACAAATAGCTAGGAAATCTGAAAGGAAATGGCGCTCTTCCAAATTATCAGAATATCGCTCAAATTGGCAAGATAATCTTAAGATTTATAGAAAGGCCCTCCGTAATGCCAGAGGAGCCTATTACTCAGCACTAATAGAAGAAAATAAGAACAACCCTAGGTTCCTCTTCAGCACTGTAGCCAGGCTGACAGAGAGTCACAGCTCTATTGAGCCACATATCCCCATAAACTTAAGTAGCAATGACTTCATGAGCTTCTTCTATAATAAAATTATTACTATTAGAGAAAAAATTAATCACCAACTGCCATCAACAGTTATCAGTGGCTCTCCAAGTTCAGGGACTTCTGTCAATGTCAATAAACTTAGATATATATTTAGACTGTTTTTCTGCTATCGATCTTCATCAGTTAACTTCAATCATTTCTTCATCGAAGTCATCAACCTGTCTATTAGACCCGATCCCAACTAGGCTGCTTAAAGAAGTTGTTCCCTTAATTGGCACTTCTTTACTGGATATGATTAATCTTTCTTTATTATCAGGATTTCAATTCAATTCAATTTTATTTGTATAGCGCCAATTCATAACAGAAGTTATCTCAGGACACTTTTCAAATAGAGCAGGTCTAGACCGAACTCTTTAACATTAATTACAGAGACCCAACAGTACCACCATGAGCAAGCACTTGGCGACAAGGGCAAGGAAAAACTGCCTGTTAAAAGGCAGAAACCTAGGACAGATCCTCCGGCTCTAGGTGGGTGGTCGTCTGTCTCGACCAGTTGGGGTGAGAGAGAGAGAGAGAGAGAGAGAGAGGCAGAGAGAGAGCGAGAGACAGACAGACAGACAGGTGCACAGCAACAACAGTATTGGCAATGGCAGTCAAGCAGGACCATGGCAGGAGGCTCCACCAGGATCCATGAGAACCTGCGAGACGAGAAAGCACAAGAACTCCGGGGAAGAAGTGGAGTTAGTAACATGCATTAATGGAACATGAATGATTGCAGAAAGAGAGAGGAAGAGAGTAGCTCAGTGCACCATGGGAAATCCCCCGATAGTCTAGGCCTATAGCAGCATAACTAAGGGATGGTTCAGGACTCACCTGATCCAGCCCGTATACCATCAACAAAACATCCCACAATAACCCAAGGCAGAGATTCAGGAGGCATGATTATATGGTGTAAATCAGAACTGAGCCAGTCCATCACAGTTATTAAAAAAGAAGAATCTTATATATGGTTGAAAATAAACATAAAAATTATTTGTGCTGAGCAACATGTCTACATGTGTGCCATCTATATACCTCCATCAGAATCCCCCTACTACAACCCAGATATTTTCTCTATTCTTGAGGAGGAAATTAACCATCATAAAACCATGGGAAATGTATTACTCCGTGGGGACTTGAACGCTCGAACAGGGGAAAGAGCTGACACTATGAACACCCAGGGAGACAAACACTTACCTGGAAGCACCTGCTTCCCCCTCCCTGAATGTCCTACTAGAAAGAGCTTTGACAAGCTTACTAAAACAAGTGGTATGCAGCTTTTACAGCTCTGCTGTACACTGGGTCTGTACATAGTCAACGGCAGGCTACGAGGGGACTCTCTGGGTCGCTACACTTACAGCTCAGCTCTTGGCAGTAGCACGGTAGATTGTTTCATTACAGATCTAGATCCAATGTCTCTCAGAGCTTTCACAGTCAGCCCCCTCACACACCTCTCAGACCACAGCAAAATCACAATCTATCTGAAAATGGCCCAGTCTAACTCTGGAGCCCCTAGTGCCTGTGAACTGTTTAACAGCACATACTCAT